CCCTCATTGACATACTCTGTGAGCACTGGTCACAACAATGGTCCGCCGAGAGAAACCGGAGACTTTTTTCTGGTGACCAACCTTCGACGTCCTGATCTCGTGGTCCCCGCCTCAAAGGACGCTGGGTCACTACAGACTTACAAAGTCACAAAATGTCCTTCTGTACATCATCAAGTACGCAGCAGCCCTTTACAGTCGACGTCTTTCTCTGAAATTCGTCCATGGGGCGTAAATTATTAAGAGGGGCCAAATGTACTTCCAAGTTCCAACCTTCATTCCTCCCCACCCCTCCCCTCTCTGCCTCAGATTGCATCCCACCCTTTTCAGTCCGTCACTTGTTGATTCACCCCTAAGACTTGGCAGATCCCAAATCATCCGGTTATATCGAATTTCAGTCCGTCTCTTTCCCTGTTCAACCACCTACTCTTGCATGATGACCACACGTTTCCAACTTCCGTTTCTCCTTTTATTCCGCTACCAGTAGGTGCCAGTTCCTTTCCCTGCCATTTGGTTCTGATGTGGCCACTAACGCGCTGCTTCCTTTGGGGCTTGGCCTACCAGACCAAATGGCTGACGGCACCAGGCAAAGAAAGTTTAAGAAACTAAAGCCTGACTGTGCCAGTTTGTTTTATTGGCGCACAGCAGAAAATCGAATTGGGAGGCTCGGAGGTACTGGCGCCCCAGGGGAAACATTTAACAACAGCACTGGTTCACCGGAGTGATACCTCGGCTGAAAAAAAAAAAGAAAAAGAAAAAAAAGGCTGCACTGCGGAAAAGAAATCCCGGGCTGCATGGTCCCAGAACAATAGGGTGTATCGAGTGGCCAAAGAAAATGCGGCGGGCACACACACACACAGACAGACAGAGAGAGAGAGAGAGACAGAGAGAGAGACAGAGAGAGACAGAGAGAGACAAAGAGAGAGAGCGAGAGAGAGAGAGAGAGAGAGAGAGAGAGAGAGAGATGGCTTGGGAAAACACAGCAATAGAGAGACACAGACAGATGGAAACAGAGACACAAACACACACAAAAAAAGACACAAAGAGTGCTCTATACATGTGATGTTCACTGGCTCTATGACAACAATTTCTCTTATATCCATGTGAGGTTCATGCTTTCTGTCCCCAAGAAAAACTGGACGACATTTTCCAGTTTTGTAGCAAGCAGCAAAAGACTGCGGTCATCACCTCCTTTTTCCATAAGGCGTATGACATGGGCACTTTGCCGGTTACGGAAGCTGCGTATCTGTTCTCACTAAAAATGGAGCTTCGGCGAAGGAGCTTCCTGGATACGATGTTTGACAAGGCCCTTATCAACTTTAATATAAGGATTGGAGGGGCCTGGACTGCATGGGTCAAGTGTTTTACGAATTGGGCCCAATGGGTATGAAGGATCGTTGATTTGGGGTCCAGTTGACCTCGGCAGTTTTCGTATTGTTTTTTGACCAAGGTCTTTTCAGGCTCGGTTTCAAGTAGGCTTTAGATAGTGGCACGGTACCGCGTAGCATATGATATATATACTTAGCTAGGTTCTAGTTTTCTCAAACCAGCGCAAACCCCTGAGGATGGCCGGTACAGCTGACGGACCGGCCGAAACATGTAGGGTTATCGTCAG